CTCTCAATCTACTTCATCAGCCATCAATTAATATGTAATGTACGAAATATCACCCTCGAGTGGATGAATCCTTTAAATGAAAGTGCATTCAAGTTTGTTCAACATGACTAGTGTTTTTTTGTTTTTTTCCTGGCACTTACTGTTTAAAATAATTATCCTCAGATTGTTTTTGATGTTGATGTAAATGCATCTTGTATGTCTTTGGAGTGATTGAAATAACAAACGATATGAATTTGTTATGATAACAGTGCCCTTTCAAAGATAATAAAGACTGGATTCTCAGCCATCAATCTCATATACTTTTTCACTGCTGGACCAGATGAGGTACTCCTTGGATTGCTTATCGCCACATTCAGGCTGTAGTTTATTCGACCTGCATTCTTAACTTGTGAATTTTTGTCCTATTGTAGGTGAAGTGCTGGCAAATTCGTCGACAGACGAAAGCTCCACAGGCTGCTGGAACAATTCATACTGATTTTGAAAAAGGTTTCATATGTGCTGAGGTACTAGCCCTTTTTTGCCTTCTATCTCTGCTTACACATCCATATTATACAAATTTTTTTGGTGATGTAATTCCTTCTGATCGTTACTGTTGTTTTCTATTTGTCATCGTCATTTCTTTGGATCCTCTAACTTCGGCGTTTTATATTCTTTGAGGATAGTATTCTGAAATATGAACTACTCTATTAATACTTAATTCTTGATCATGTGATTCTTTCCAGGTTATGAAGTTTGAAGATTTGAAGGAACTTGGAAGTGAGTCGGCTGTGAAGGTATTGTTCTTGTTCCGTAGAAAAGTGTTGGTCATTATGAATGACTTCTAGTAATTCATGATTTGAACATAGATGATATTGCTTATGTGATTTAAATTGCTGGATTTATCAGCTTTGCTGTACCTAAGATAGAAGCCATACTAATTAATAAGGCGATATGTAGAGGGAAGAGAACATTTAGATTCAAAGCAACATTTTAAGTGGAAGCAAAGTTCAAACATTTATTTATCTATTTTTGAAGACTGTTATACTGAGCTACTAATCTTTACTTACTGAAGTACTTAATAAGAGCTGAATTTTTTTGTGGACGAGGAAATTTCATCATTCCTGCTTTTGTAAATTTCCACTGAATATGCTGTAT